ATATATATATATATATATATATATATATTCACGACAGAGGTTTCCATAGCTTATATTGGCTGAAGACTTTGGGAACTGTACATTTTTATCTCTTAGAAGTTATATTGCTTTTTACTATGTATTTACTTGAAATAGGGCTCAATGGATCTCTGCTGCAAAAATCCAGATCTTCAGTAGATGGCAGCAAATAGAGGTTTCTGTATTTCTTCGCTGTCGCCTAGTGGTTGTCTGGATTTTTGCAGCCCAGATAGTAGCATGCTTGAAAGCAAGCCTGGTGTTGTGTTTTTCTTATTTATCCTCAAAATGGAAAGATAATTTCAGATTCACTGAGAAGACCGTCGTGGAACCAGAGGAGATTTTTCTGTCAAAGCTTCCTTCTGGGAGGATTGTCTTAAATTCAGGGTTGTTTTCATTCTGGATAAGTGTAGCACATCATGCACACATCTGCAGCACCTAGATGTCATATAGCCTCAAGGTGTTTTCATAAAAATCCAGAGCACTCTATGGAGAAATGCTTTTATTTTTATTTGCTAATTGAAATGCTTATGTTTTAAGAATCATCTCTTAGATTATAATGCAGCTGACTAGGCCAGTGGCCTAGTTTTGTTACGCTTTATGCAACATTGGGTCCAAGATAGTTGTAACTGCCTTGGTTACAGTTGTTGTGGAACAGAATCTTTAAACTGACTAAAGTGACTAGAAAGTTCAGCAGATATGGGTTAGAAATGAGAAATCTCTAGCCAATATTTTTAACAAGAAAGTTAGTGGACAATTGCAGAGTTACAGTCAGTAAACAATAGGACAGATAGTAAAGGACAGTTGAGAAATTAGTGGCTGTAACTCTGTCCCTCACAAATGACCCATTAACTAATCTCTCCAATTTTCTTTTGGAGAGAAAAAATAAATAAGATGGCAGGAAATGGGAAGCCTTCTAGCCTTCTTTAAGACAATTAGTAGGGCTAAAATGTGATCATTGTATAACAGACACAGGGTGGTGTCCTGCCAGCATACAAAGATTAATTTATTGACTGGGTGAGTGGGTGGCTGGATAATTTGTGTTGGCTTGTATGAACCTTGAGGGAACTGAAGCTCAAAGCTGAGTGGAGAAACAAGATTCCAAAGAGAGAGAAAAAAATAGCTGGAAGGAGGCTTTGTGGTCCAAGAGTTGGTGGCTTCAAGCAGAGAGCAGCCTACCTTTAAAAGGCCTCAGAAACTTATAAGGCCAAGTTTTAAAAAAGAAAAAGCAAGTTTGGAGCAAGGAATGAGATAAATGGTATTATGGGAAGATGGAGAGCATCCACCTTTTTTTCTTTTTTCCAGAAAAGCAACTGATTTGAAATTAATTCAAGATTAGCACATTTCTTTGATCTAAGCTCTAGAAAAAGATGCAGCTTATGGTTGTTCCAGTGCCAGACATGGAAGCCTATATTTAAGAAACCATGTGTGTGTTGTGTGTGTACATATAATTAACTATGGGATTACAGCACTCACCGTGTATGCTCTTAAAAAATGTGTAATGGCTACCAGGAAAGAAATATACTAGGGAATAGAAGTGAAATTCTAAATTCAAATTTTGCAATGGACCTTCAAAATTGGTTTTTGGATTTTTAAAGAAGACAATAGGAACTTTAATTCCCTTGCTAGTTATCTTACTATTTTTTTTTTCAAATGGCAATTTCTAACAAATCAAGATTGGTATCCCTACAATTATTTCACTATATTAATATCTCTAGAATAGGTTAAGAAGCTAATTGCTTCAATCTCTAATGATTTTTAGTACTTATGAGGATGCAAAAACTAACAGCATGGAGACAGGCGTATCTTTGCTTTATTATATTCAAAACTACCATTATGAACTTTTATAGGCTTTATGATTAGCTACTGTATGATTTATTATCAGTGGAAACTACTGCAAAACTACTGCAATCAGTCTCAGCTCTTAGCTGGAATTCAGTTCTGCTTTGAAATTAGCTTTTCAGAAATAAAACTCTGCATTGGACTTTAACTGGGAAGAACGGAGTTCATATTCATACTGAGCTATGTGCCATGAAACTTACTGGGTGATCATCATAAAATCTCTATCTCTTAGCTTAATCTACTTTGCAAACTTATGGATTATCTTGAAAAAAACACCAACAGTGTAACCTCTCTTATGCCACCATGAGCTCTTTCAACTTTCTCATGTTTGACAGTTCTATATACTCAAAATACAGTAAGGTTTTCATCCCCCTCCCTTTTTTTTTCTTTGAAGAAGACTTTACAGAATCCAAAATAATTATTGGTTTTAGTAACTGGATGGCTTGATTAACTGCATTTTAAGACATGTTTATTCTTCCTTCTCCTTTTCATGTTTCGTACATTATGTATGTATTCTTGTGGTATTATTTCCCTGTGATGTTCTGCTGAAAGAATACCATGGAATCTAGCTGTATGCCGTCAAACTCATTTTCTCCCCAGACATGCATGGGGTCTGACAAACAATTTTGGTTTGGGGGAAGAATTTCTGCATGCCTTGAATTTCTCCTACCACATGCACAGGTGGCCAACACATTGGATGAAAAGTGTCCAGCCACAAGACTGTGTTCAATTAGGAATCTCAGAAAGCCAACAGTCTCATGCCATAGATCAAGTCACTAACTAGGCTACTTGCCAGGGCAAGCTGATAAGTGCTTGCTGCAAAACCTGTTATTCCTGGAAAGCCGTTATTATACATCTCTGCACCGCTGAAGGCATGGTGGAGAGGGCGGGCCTTTTATGAGGGAGGGAAATACAGGCCTCACATGTGGGATGGCAGCCCTAAAAGTATGGTGTTATAAGTTAAATAATCAGTTAGACTGACATTTTTCATTTGTGCAATAACTTTATTTAAATATTTTGGCTGTCCTACATACTCTCATTTACTGAGCTATTGGCTTCAATGGGGGGAAAAAAACAGTGGATAAAAAATATTACACTGAGATATGAGAAGAAATGGTGAGGGACAGATAAAATAAAAATTCTGCCTTTGGCCTGTCAAAAAGGCCCTGGGCAGAGGCAATTTATCATTTTCCAATGGCAGTTTTTTACAATTTTTCTTTTAAATTGGAAAGAATATAGATGATGTGTGTGTGTGTGTGTGTGTGTGTGTGTGTGTGTGAGAAAGTAGAATGACATTTTATGGTCTGTTTTCTGTTTTCTGTGGATTGTGTAAGAAGATTCCTGAAAAAGATGAAGGAAAATATATCTAGTTCTTGTAAGTTAGAGAACAAACGGAAACATGCAGGCTGTGACAATTATTTAAAAAATAAAATAAGGTGCTTTAGAAAACAACCACTGTAATCCTAAAAGCTCCACTGAAGTCAAGGGAAGTTAATTCTGTTCTAAGTAGAGGCAAGCAAGAATTGGCTACTTCATTTTTTCCATGCAGGACAAACCAGAAAAAATCCAATTTCTTCCTCTGTAATTTCCATGCCAATGTAAAGTTGTTTTTTGAGTAATTTGCCTTTGTTGCTCTTTCTAAATATGTCACCTTGATTGGTGAGGTCTTACTTCCATTTTGCTGGTCTGCAAACAATAGCAAAATGAGTTCTGTTGATTTGCCGCCATGTTAGAAGGCTTTTTATTACAGCTGGAAACCACTGCCATTTCAGATTCATCACAGCTGTTCATTGTACAGTACAAGTCTCCATGCAAACATTAGTCTCTACCTTTTTGGTTCAGATTTAAATTAGAGCATGAACTTGCTAGAAGAACAGATTGATTTTATTTATTAAATTCCAGCATTTAATAGCATTAAATATATAATAATGAGAAAGACTGTTGGTTACAACATGGATGTGGTAAATATAAGTAGAATTTTCACTGTGTTTAACTATATAGATTAATAACTCTCATCCTGAAAATTCTACTCATTTATTACCCATAGTTGTTCGTTCACGTTACACCAGTGGCATTGGGAGTTGGGGGGCATACAACTTTAATAACTATTATTTCCATATATTTTTGTGGGCTACTGTCTGATAAAGTTTAAATTACATAATATTACATGCATCTAAAAATTACATATATTATAAATTCTTTATTTGACTCTTCTGTATTCATGTATGTGGTGATTATATTTTACCATCAGATTGTAATGTATTTCAAATACATTGAAAAGATAAGAAGTGCTAAACAAGGTATTATATAAATCTTTATTAAAAAATTTCCAGCATCTCTGCAGATGTTTCAGTTGTTACTCTGCAGGTGAATCACTGGAGCATGGCAGCAGGTCTTGAAAGTCCATAAAGTCTGTCACATGGATAATGGTATTGGCTATTAGTATGTTTAGTAATGGGATAAGCTCATATCCATATTTCTTTTATGATAGACCTCAAGGTGTTTATATGGAAAAGACTTAGCAATGTTGACTACCAACATGCCTCTTCACCATAAATCTTAGATCGGTGATGAAGCTGGAAGTATCAGAATATCCTTTGCTTTTATACTTCTGAAGTCTGTGATGTGATGAATCAGCTCTCTGAATAACAGTGATACTAAGAACCCAAGATATGTTGTAGAATAAACTAGGTCAGCATCTGTTCAGCTTGACCTGCAGGTAGTGGGTAGACATACCTTTCTCAAAGAGAAATTAAATATATTTTAGCAACAAGAAAACAAACTTACACTTTGATAACTTCTAGGCAAAAGTCCCCAGAACACACAGATATTACTTAATCCAATTCTATATTACCTTCTGCTGCTCTAAAAATACAATATAGCACAATATGTCAAAAAAGCAAAGTCTTTCTCCCTCCATGTAAACACCTTCACACTATCCTGTTACATTTCTGTAAGAATGTTATTACATGAATATCAATGATTTCCCCTTTGTTTCCTAAGGTAAACACACAGCTGTTTTAGCAATTTTAAGAACTCTTGGGAGTTATCTTGATGAGTCCTCCTAGGAAAAAAAAAAGCTTAAGACTAGCATCTCAGCTGCTGGAAATTTGCATCTTTAATGCTAATGTCAACAAAGAAATCCTGATGTATCCCAGCTAAGATTCTGAACCACATTTATTAACATATAATTTAGTTGTTTCGGATGCAGAAACCTTTTCAGGAGATGGAACACTGCCTTAAGTCCAGCAGTTCTATGACTTTCATGCTTAGTGTTATTCTATTCAGTGTGCATCTTTCTGCTTAGGTTTTTTTGTTTTTTAATTTTTAAAGGCAAATAGGCAAGGAGAAAATGTCTAATGCCATATATTGTTATAATAATGTAATAATTGGCTTACATATGAAATGGTACTACTAAATGATGCTACATGAAATCTACATGTACTAAGATGCTGCCAGGGCCTTAATAGCTGTTGACCTCAGAGAAAAGTATTTTAGCCTGTTCTCAATATGAACTCTTGCCTACTCCCTTCTTGCCCACATTTACCCACTTTCTAGCAAAGGTCCTCTTCTAGGAGCTGTGGAAAAGTAACAAGTGATATTTTGCTCTATACTGCTAAGACTTTCTTGATCCTGCCACAGTCATTATCAAATAAATGGAAGCTAATGGGTTAACAAAGAAACACTGATAAGAAAGGAAGGAAAAATATGTTTGGTGGATATAGTGGCTTCAGTGTCTCAAGACTATATTTAGGACTTCAGTGTCAATCACATACCAAAGTTATGCATGAAACTCATACCTTACAAGGCTTTGAAGGAGCATAGAGTACACACATCTCATTTTGACTCCAAATTCTGTGGTATTTTACAAAGAAAATCCAGAATGCTAATACTCTAAGGAAAATGCAATATGCAAAGCAATTCTGAGCCATCTTACTAAATCCTGTGCTATTGCAAAGAATAGTCCAAAATGCATTTTTCTAACGAAACTTTTCTGTTAGCAAAGATAGAAAAAAATGTTAATGATTTGTGTAGAAAAGATTAAAGCTGTGATTGATAGCTGTTTTTCTTACACTTCTATTGGTATCATCTTCAGCAATGAATGAAACAAAATTATAACACAAAGTTTTCTGACACTTCTTGAGATTCAGAAGCTTGACATCTGTTTTATTTCCTTGACGGAATGTTGGTTTAGCAGACTAACAAAAGATTAGAAAGCAGGAGAGGGAAACAGTTTGAAGAATATGCTGGTTACTGGAAGAGCAGACATACTTGCTTATGGGAGCAGAAAATATGATGATGTGATTTCCAGACAAATAGGTTCATCAGCCACAGGTGAGGGTTGGGTTTTGAAAAACGAGAATGGACTTTTGAGACTGTACAAAATCTTCTGCTCATATGTGTGTTACAGGGGGAAAATTGCTCTTCTCTGGACAGGTTACTTACCAGATGTGCCTTAGTACATCATCTGTACTACTGAGAAACCAAAATACATCTGGTGATTAAAACATCTTTATATAGTTGCATGATTTATTCAAAAAGTATGTTTGCAGCTATAGAAAGTTGGAGAATTCCATGTAAATAACTCTGCTCGAATTTCAGTAGAGATAACATACATAATTGGACATTAGACAAAAGTGCTGTTGTTTGCTGTAGAAATAGTTTGAAGTCATTACATAGAGCACAACCTTCTATTTACATTCTGCTGTTTAGGTATTTTCCTTACAGTCAGGGGATTTAAATAAACCTGCAGTCTCTGTGGATTATAGTTATGTACTGTTTTATACATACTGGAGAATTATAAGCCTGCAGGCTGAGATAACTGCACAATAAACATATATTTTATGAAATAATAACTTTAACACATGTTAGTTTGAGAAAAAGAGAGAAATCCTGAGTTTGAGAGAGAGAAATCCTATTCTTCCATATAGCTTCCACCTTAAACAACTTCCCACATGAATGTCAAAATTGATTTATTATATTTGAAAGTTGCAGAAGGAAGAACTAATTCAGACATTTTAGAAGTGACCTTGGTATAACTCTTTTCCATATAACTGGCCAAGGATCTGGGGACTTATGTGAATAAATTGGCTACCTATATCAGACCAAATTCCTTATAATCCTCTCTCAAAACTCAGCTTTGATGGTGCCCAGCAAAAAAAACCTGTCTCTCTCCTCCTGTAACAAACTAGGTTTTCAACCAGGGGGCAATTCTGTGATAGCTATTGTTTTTGTAGAAATTGGTGATAAAACTGGGCTGTGTATAGTTTCAGATTTGAAATGCAAACATTTATTCAGAGGATGCTCATACATGTTTCTGGCAATTACTAGGAATACCTTAAAACAGTAATATCCTTTCAGAGTGCATCTGGCTGATCTCTGGAGCTGACACAGGATACCTGGAAAAAAAACTCTTTGTGGGAGGTGTTTCAACAGGGGCAATGTGCATGGCACACCTTGCCCTTTCAGTCCTATAAAATAATATGCCAATTTACAATTGTCATTTGATCTCTCAGTTGTAAACATTCCCTTTGCACAAAACCCACCAAACCCCAATCCTATCACAAGGGAAACTATCACTGGAATTTGTCATGAGGATCAGCCTAAAATAATATTTAAAGGAATCTCACAAATCTGTTCCCCACCACCCCAAAAAACCCAGCCTCACTTATCTGAAATTTGGTGGGCTTCATCCCCCTGAAGGGCTGAATATTATGTTAAAAGTTTAAACTAGCATTTTGTTCATTTCAAATGACATGAGAGGCATGAAGCTGTGGATTTCTGAATCTTACCTTTGACTTTTTCCAGAGTTCAATCTGGTAGCCTCGAAATCACTCTGGAGCTAAGTGGACTGCTCCCAGTTGCTGAATTGCCATCCAAACTGACTCTTAAGGTTTGGATTAGAAAGAGCCTTAAAAGCTCACTAGCTGGATTTTATTTTACCTTTAATTTCGATATTTTTCAAAAAGGAGTGATGAACCTGGTATCTGTTGCTCTTAATTCACAATAAGAAGTTTATTTATTTAATGTTAAGAATCTGCTCATGTCCTTGCCATTTCCAACTGTGGGGACATTATCAGTTACTGGTTACGATGAAAGGAAATACTTCACCTCAGCTGTGGAAAATCCAGCATCTGTTACATTTTAGCTATTATCTTTGGCCAGAGAGTTATAACTGATCTCACAATTGAGACAGGAAACATATGCAATAGAAACACATTAACCCTGTCATAGCCATTCTGGTGTGTGTATATTCACACAAACACACACACACACACACACACAGACTGTAGTGTATAAATTATACCATACAATTGAGTTCCAATCTTGATTTGGTGATCTGGAGCACAGCCCAATTTTTCCATGGTCTCATTCAACATGGAGGCCCAATTTGGTCTCAATTTAGAAAAAACAAATTTATTATAAAAATAAATCTAATAGTTTTATCTAACAGATCTAGATAAAATTCCCAGGAAGACAAACATGTTTAAGGAGTGTGTGTGTGTGTGTGTGTGTGTGTGTGTGACAGAGAGAGACAGAGAGAGAGAAGGCAATATTTCTAATTGATGGGGTTCAATATACATATATTTTTTAATCTATTGCTTTTTACTTAAATGACTTCACAATCAGAGAAAGTGCAATAAGATGGTTGTGGAACAAAAGTTGAAGCACCCAGTGCTATACTTTCCCAGACACTCCCAAACCAATATGTAAATAATATATAAGGCAGACTGTGACGTTAAACTCATCCTGAAATGTGCTACTTCAGAATTCATCCCACTCTACTCTCCCACTGGAAGACCCTATGACTGGAGAGCCCTGTTAAAATTTGAAGCTAAGGCTGCCGGTCAAAAACTAACCCTAGCCTACCCTGTTGCCCTCGTATGGAAATGTTGTTTACATGTTGGGTGATTCTCTAAATCATTAAAGAAGCTCTGGAGAACTGTAATACAATCTTTGCCCCTCCAACATACCTTCCATTCATGCAATATTTAGACAAGCTTGATAGACCCATTGCAGATTAATTTTAAAAAATAGCTAACAAAAATGAAAAAAAAATGCCTTTCATGACTTCTATTCTGTGGAACTAGAATTACCACAGAACTGGAAACAATGGAATAGTGTATGAACAGGGCAATTTGACAGAAAGTAAGATTACTTCTTAGTAATTATCAATATAGATTTATAATAAATAATTATGTATCATATAAAATTGATCCAATGTATTACATACATAGAATTTATAGATCCCTAATACTTCATAAGTGCTTGACAAGCTAAACTACTAATTCTTATAAAACCCTTTTTATTTCTTTCTGAGAACAGGTTCTAACCATGTTTTGAGGTAACTTCATAAGAACATGAAGTCCAGGATGAATGATTTAGTTGGTAAATACATGGGCCTCTTATACGAAGGTTTGTATAATGTTTGTGTATATGTGTGTATATTAATGTACAAGTTAAACTGCAACCTACAAACTGAGGAAAAGTTTTATATGCAAAGAAATCTGAATATAAAACTTAACACATTTTATATTCTGTGATACTACATTGAATTATGTAGCTTTTTCACTTATTTCACTATGCAAACATGAACTTATTTCTACATTTTTTTTCTCCATGTATATATGATTTGCAAGCTGTATGACATTGTTTTGGCACAGGTGAGTCCTTCTTAGATCGGTCAGCTCAAGAGGAAAAGAATAAAGTAGTGATGAGTGATCTTGCTTGCCTTTAGACTTGGAAAAACATCATTTCAAATGTAGTTCTAGATAATTAGGAAACATTCTGGCAATAGAGAATAAAAACTCTCTAAAACCCATTCCTCATTTACTCTTGTGGGTATCACATATATTTTCAAGAATATATTTCAAGAAGGACACGTATGCTATACATTGAACCGTCTTAAGAATTTCAGTTAGGAGTTATTTATGTTATGTTTTATTCTACCTGATGGAGATGATAAAGCTTTGTGTGGTTTCAGAAAAAATTGCTCTATAATTGTTTGTACTATTATATAAAGCTGTTTTGTATAACTTTTGACTACAAGATAGAATATAAATACATAAATGATAACATTTGGCTTAATTACAAATGGAAAGACTAAATGTATGTCAGAAAGTATTAATATCATTTAGGTTGGATGTGTGTAAAAGTAGGAATTCATTGTTTGGAGTATTAAAATGTTCTGCTTTGTGTTATAATAGAAGAACCAAGGGTGAGCTCTGAGAAAAAATGTACAATATTCTAAATGAATGCAATCAATGAGAAAAATATTCTTTGGGTGAAATAAATAGGGATGAGATGAGAAAATACAGAAAAAGGTATTGGGGTACTTGGAGACCCAAGAATGAATCAAAATGGTGGCTGATGAGTATTTAGAAAAAGACATGTTGGTTTCAAATATGTAGTTTTAACGTAAGTCCATAAGTCCATGTGGGAAAGGAATGAACAAAAAATAATGTATTAAATTGATTATGATGAAAGATTAAGAGAACTAAAAGGTGTAAAAGTAGCAGGACAGCACACTATCCCCACTGAGGTCCCAACAAAGTCCTCCAGGAGAGTAACAATGCTGTCTCAATCCCCATACATGGGCCTGAACTCTGACTTTGAAAGTCCAGATAATCTGCTGCTTCTAGAGTGGTTGACATGAAAAAAGGAGTAATGATTGCAAGTTATACATAAATGTAAAAAAAAAAAAAACCCTCTAAAACAAGTAGATGTATTTATGTTCCTTGGTAGAATGTTTACTGGAGATAAAAAATAGATTAACAAAAGTGAGTAACCAGTACAAAAGAAATACGTTTAACTGGTTTGGATATGTATCAGATTGCAAAACAAATATATGAAGAAAGAGCGAATGGGGGATAGGAAGGGAAAGACAGAGAAACTTCCAGTTCTGTGGAGCTGATGAGATCTTCAAAAGGAGGCAGGTGAGAAGTTTAATGAAAACATGCAATATATGATATGATGTAATGTGCATGGTGAACATAACGTGCAAGGATGGTTTGCACGGATAGAAGTATAGCGAATAGTGTTGTTATAAACAAATTTTAGTTTCCTTTTCTTTTTCTAATCTCATGCATTGAATTTCTTTGTTTCTTAAGCTTTTTATGCATTTTGCAAAACATTGCTTACCCTAAAGGCAGCTGTGTGAGAGTATACATGCATATAGGAGAGCCCTAGAGGTCTGCGTTCAATAGGCAGTGGCATTATTTCTCTGTCAGCTGGTTAAGAATCTGTAACATAAGATTAGGTGGAAAATTTTCTTTGTTGGTTCTTTTTTTTTTTTTTCAGTTCCAGGTATGTGTCTTTCTCCCACAGCTACCCAGAAATTTGGTGCTCAAAAATCTGGAGCTGTACCATCTGTCCAAGGTAACAGTACTGAGGTAGGTAGACAAACAGCGTAGCTAATAGTACCCAGCTATTTCCTGTGTGTCAGATGGAAATTTGATAAAACTGGGACAGCATTAGAAATCTCCATATACCACCTGGTGTTTAAGGGTTCACATTCTTAAATGTGATTTGGTTCACAATCAATGGTCATAATCTCTTTGAAAACATTGCTCTCTGTCTTTAGCAGCTCTTCCAATCCTTAGAGCAATTGGAAATCTCTGGAAACTTGGGTGGTTGGATGTTCTGAAACCAGCTTCTCCCCAGAAATCAAAAGAGTTTCATCTTCACTTTAATCCTTATGGGTGGCAGATTCCCCAGCCCAAATTTGTGAATGAAATAACGGATGCTGGAGGGAGAAAAGGGCTTCATTAGTGTAGTTTATAGAATAGAGGCCTATTATTCAAAACCAGGGAGGCAGTTTTATAAGGCCTAAGAGTGCACATTTCCCAGCCTGCTTCATCTTAAATTACAAAAAATGAGAGTGGGGGGTGGGGTGGGAGAAGAGGGAATACTAATAGTTTGATGTCTCAAGTCACAAATTGGATTGATGTACTGCTAAATTGCATTGTAAATATGTTTCCCATTATTTAAGCAATGAGCATGTATGACTGTTGTTGTTATCATCATCATCATCATCATCATCATCATCATCATCATCATTATGGAATTTGAGAATTTTTCAGAACATGGAGCTGCTTAAAAGACTTGAATGCAACAGGCCCAATACTAACAGATTATAACAAACCATCAGGAGGCAGATTCCCAAACTGTAATGCAGTCAACATACTGTTGTAGACTTTCATGGGGAGCATCAATCAAGCAGTAATGAGTTTTAGGCTGAATGGCCATAGTCTAGCTTTCTGGTGTCCTGATGTTTCACTGGCAGCTGTGGCTGGCATCTTCAGAGGCAGAGCAAGCTGCTTTGTAGTGTATTTCTCAGCAGTTCACAGATACTGAACAGGGACTAATCTGGCTGTTGTATTTGAAACTGGCAAACTGATCTCTGATTGGTGCATGTCTATTTGATGAGATTAGAATCTGCAGATTCTTTTTGTTGTTGAAGTCAACAGGAAGGAGAAAAGTTTGAAAATCAACAAAGTTGATTTTTCAAAAGTTTGAAATCATCATAAATCCCAGCTTTATGTCACACCAAGGTTAAACAGTCCTTAACATCAACAACAAAAAGAATCTCTAGCAGCCTCACCAGAAAGAACACCTAGCAGTACAGATAGTCCTTGGGTTACAACCATTTGTTCAGCCACAGTTCAAGTTACTATGGTGCTGAATGAGGGGGGCTTAAAATGGCTCTTCGGAGTTCCAGCCATCACAGTGCATTCCAGGGACTCAGTGCCCAGCTTGCAATTATGTCACCACAGCAAGCCACCACCATGTATCATGATTTCCAACATTCCCCACTGGCTTCCCAAAGCAAAAACAATGGGGAAGCTGGCAAGAAGTCAAAAGTTGCAATCAGGTGAGATCCTTGCTTAATGACCCACGTGGTGCTTGTTTAACAATGGCAACTGGGACTGCAGGAATTGCAATGCAGTCACATGACATTGCACTTTATGACTGTGCCACTTAGTGACAGAGTTCCCAGTCCCAATTGCTAAATTAACCCAAAGACTACCTGTAGTCTGGATCAAAGACAGACCTATCAGAAATCAGTTCACTTGGATTTCTCCAAAATAGACCAATTGGAAATCTACTTAGACAAGGAAACAATCAGGAATCAGCTTTCTTGGACTCACATGCCATTTATCAAACAGTAGCTTGAAACTGGTATGTGTATATGTGTTTCTGTATGTTTAAATACTTTCTACCATTGTGTTGAATGGATTCTCTCCTATTCCCAAAGCTGAAACTGATCCGATCAGCCTTGCCATGTAGACCAGACAGGAAACACGATAGATAAGCTAATTCTACTTTATTGTAAAGCTGCATTAACAGATTCTTGCAAGTCTGAAAGTACAGTTCTCCTGCCATCTCCTTTATAGCCCAAGAAACTAGGAAGGGCCGCTTCTGAGCCTCTTGCCCCATCCACTATCCATTTGCTGGCTATGCTGTCTCTTATCTGACCATTCCCTAGGCAGCATCTCTTCACCCCATCTTCCAAGGTCTTTCTCATATAGCATTACATCCTATAACGTATTGAGCTAAAGTTAGTTTAATTATATGACTATTTAATTTTAAATTATATTGACTTTACTAGGGGTTACTCCTGGTAGATGGGCATAGAATTCATCTTAAGCTTTCATTTTTAGTACTGTGAGAGTGCTATGATATATTTTGCCACTATGACAAATGCATATTCATCTTTCCTTTTAGATTTGATATCCTACAAATATCTGTGGGCTTATTTTGAGATTTCCCACTGAATGACAAGGATAAGAGAACAAGGAGTGACACAGTTAATGGAGAAAGGAGTTTGTATCTCATTTAGCACAAAATCCAGAAGGTGCAACCCTGCTTTACTCACAACAGTGGATTATGCCACTGATTTCAGAAATGCAAGGATCTATCCACAATAAACTACTTGGCAGCCCCTACAAGCTAAGTAAACCTCAGATTTTATTTAACACTGGTTTAAATGCAATGAGATTGTCTTTTGTATTTACAGCTCCCAGGCCTGTTGAATGCACAGGCCCAATGCCAAATGAAAATAAAATTAAAAAATCTTGTGCTGATGATCTGTAATATTTCATCAGCTTTTAAACTAATACAGTACAATATTGAGCAGCTGAACCTCAAATCCAAACAGCACATATAGTGAATAAATTCATGCACTTTCCCAAATTAGATCCTTTGCTGAAAAGATTTACAAACATTTGTTATGGTTAGCTGGAGAATAAGCTTTGGATATATTAAAGTATTATTCTACTTTATTTTTCTATAAATTAGAAAAATCCATTTATAAATCCAATATTAATATGTATATTCAAATGATAGGTATGGCATAGATTAGTGGTGGCCTCTATACTTACATTCTTTCCCCTTATCTGCTTAATTTTAGAAGCTAATAAACTTTGGTAGACTGACATCTTTGACAGTAAACAAACTAGCATTCAGGAAGCATTGCGTGAATGCTTCTGCATATTTTCATAGAGACAGAACTTTTAGCTTGTTTCTACTTGGAATGAATTTGCACTGCACTATTAACAATAGTCTTATTATTGTAAGAAAAAAATGGAAGATTAAAATTTGGTATGTACAGTATGTTAAAAATAGAAGATTAATATTATCTGGGCAAAAACAAACAATTATTCCTTGTTCTGCCAGGATATGTTAACAAGTAGGACATCAATATAATTCTGTCCCAAGATGATAAAGATGATCCAGTGTATAACATCACTGAAAGCCATGAATAGGATTGTTAGTCATAGCTCCATTGTGAATTTGAAAAAGTGTAAACTATCTCTAAATTCATTTATCATCACGCTGTTCAGTAGCTAATGCCACTGGCTAAAAGGGCTATATATGATATTTTTTCTGGGCATTTATAATTCAGGCTTTAACGTTCTATTGAAAATTAAGCCCTGATTTAAAAGGATAAGAATGGTTTCCTTTCATTTTCCATCTAGGAAATTTAATAAAATGATCTATGGTATTCCCTAGGAAATGAAGGCAGGATGACACCTACATTTAGTAATCCAGGTAATTTTACTGTTTTCTGTTTTACGTCTTCCTTACATTTTTGATGAAAATGTAAGACAAAAAGCTTGATGAAAAACTTGTAATATCACAAAGGGTAGAGTGAAGCTCATTTTATTCCTTGCATATATTGTTTCATTAAAACAATTTTCTGAATGCGTTTCATTAAAATAATAATAATAATTTATTAAAGGAATATTGTTGAAAAATACTCTGCTAATGCCTGGATTCTGAGTGGTGGTATGTATATTTTTTCTGCATAACATTTCTACAAAATGTTATCTGCAATTCTTTGACTGTTTGATGCTAATATGTAGGATGCAACGAATATAATAAAAATGTAGGGTAATGTAGTTATAATAAAGTTCCAAGGAGAATTAGAACATAATGTTAATAATAAACATGGATAATGGACTTCTGTAAAATATTCTGAACAGCTGGTATATTAGATAAATTATGCAAGAACTTTCTGGGACCACAGAGACTACTTCATCTTCTTCAAGATAAGTTGGTAAGTGGATAAATATTGCAATACGGTAGGTAAAAGATGCACCTGCATAAGGGCCTTTTTGTTCTATTGTAATGACTAAACATGATGAATCTTACCTTACATTATATTATTCTTCCTTCTGCTCAGATTGCACCCATTACAGCAGACTGAATAATTGAAAAAGATTTTGAGACAATTTAGCCTCAGAACTGGAAGTGCCAAATTGAACTATTAAATGCACTGTTATAAGAAAGCAGAGAAGAGATGAAGAAACAGACAAAATTATATCGGGCTGAAGAGAACAGAGTTCTCAGAGACCATAAGGGTAAGATGGAATATACAAAGTTCAGCTGATCTGCAGGAATGGGTGAAGAAGAATGCTAATAAGGAAGAAGTAACATTAAAGGAGACCAATAGAGTGAGAGAATGGAAGAGTATGGAATATGGCAGGTGCAAGAGAAACACATGGGGAGATTTCATATCCAACAATGGTTAAAGTCCCATCCCTTCAAGTTTTCCAGAAAGAAATTATAATGAAAGCTTGCTTTGGTGGTACTTAAGCAAGGATAGAGTACTCTGCTTTTTAGTAAACATGGCAATGTGAATATGGTTGCTTTAAAAAAAAGAAATACTTTCTGCAGTGAAGTGCGTATAAATCAAATTCACCACCTGAACAGATGTCACAACAGTTTCAATGAACATTTCTTTATAACTGTTGGTCATCTGTACAGTATATCATTTTGTCAGAAGAATAGCTTTTTGGTGGAGTTGCTGCTTCTGTGCTGGGCTTGTTAATATACAATAACATTTCAAAGTCTATGGTCTGGGTCTGTGTTTCTCTCTGCAGGACAGTCACACACACTTTTACATAAAATTAGATTGTTCTGGGATTTGGATAAAGCTTGCTTCTTTATCACTACATAAGTTGCAATATTATTATCATGCAAGGCCATAGATTTTCGTTTCACTAGAAATACTCTCCTTTTCTCAATCTCTTTCTCTCTTTCTCTCTCATGTTTGTTTATTCCAAGAAAAAACTTATATTATCCGTATAAAATAGCTGATTCTTCAATTAATAGTTATTGAATGGGCCCAGACAGGAACTAGTGCAACTAGTACAGGTACTAGTATTGGGACTGAGTTAAAGAATGGGACATTTGGTTACATACATCTTGTTACATACAATGTACCATTCAACCTCTTCCTCTATGCTTATATAGCCTGTAGCTGAAAACAAGATAACAACTTTTCAATAAGCCATAGTCATGCAATCAGCTGATAATCATTATAGGGAAATCAGGGAAGAGGAATTTAGGAAAGGGTTTAAATGTTTAAATGTTAAATGTTTTCTGGATTTAGTTTAAATGTTTTAAATGTTTTCTGGATCCATCAGCCTTCCCAATGTGGTATCCTCCAGATATGTGAGACTTAAATTTCCATAGTTTCTGGGAGATGGTTAGAACTGTTGGAGCTGGTATACCCAGGTATATATTTATTCTTTCAATTCCTTTTTTTTTTTTACAAACACAACACAAAACTTTGCTTAAAAAATTCTGCTCAAGCCCCAGAAAGGCCTGCAAAAAGTAACCCTTGAATTGAAGGAGGTGAAAACTTAACACCTGTTTCTATTTATTGGGGAAGTGGCATAAAATACAAAGAAATAGAAAAGAAAGTTTGAAAGGAGTAGTAAATGATCAGAAATTACCAGGCATGCTGAAAAGTGGAAATATTGAATTTCTACAAATGTCTTTTAAAAATAAAGAGCAAAACTCTCTCTCTCTCTCTGTCTCTGTCTCTCTCTCACACACACGCACGCACACATTAATAGGCTGAGTGTAATGCAACCAGATTTCTTTCAGCAAAACAATTTTGCATAAGAATAAAGTTTGTTGGTTCAAATTATACCTCTGTCAACAAAAAGCAAATCCTAGTGAATCTTTGCTGATGGTTAGTGAGGTTTTGCTGCTTATTTTTGAGAGGAGGAGGCAAAGCTAATAAAGAGTCTTCGTATATGCAAGAATGTATTAAGATTTTAAAGCATAATTCTTTAGCAATTCCCTTTATAGCCAAATAGCACACTAATGTGAGGAGCAATAGTGGAATCAAATCCCGCTATGAGACAAAGAAAGTAATTTTTCTTCTTTTTTTAACTTTAGGAATTTAGCAACCTCCAGGAATTACATTGATCTACGCTAGGCTCCTACATTCTCCCAGAGAGAGAAATCAAGGGAATAATAACAGATGCTAGGCTGGGTATCAGTCTCATGTGAAATTAAAAACAACACTGACAGTTTTGAGTGGGGAAGGCTTAAATTCAGAAAGTGTTGGAAGATCTTGTTGAAGATTAGTCTTAAGCCTCGTGTGGGGGAATGGGAGAAGAAACCTTTTTCATAAATCATCCCAATACTTAATTTGATATCAAACATGAACCTTAATATATGTCACATAATCTGATTTAATACACCTGGGGCTTATTAAAATGGTGTGAGCCAAAAAGTAAAGTATAGTTATTTAGACAAGCCTGAGCAAATTGAATGAAAGGGAGAAAATCTATCTTAATTTGAAATTGCCTTGGAATTGTTTTATAGAAGAAAGGTGATAGAGAGAGATTGTACCAATTGTAATATTATGAATTCAGTCCAATAAGAAACTATGTAAGGCTTGCAAGATTATTCTGAGCAGCAGTGGCAATGAAATAAGCTTCCAAATATGGACAACTTCTCAAGCTGCACTGTATGTTGTTCCTGAAAGAATGGATGAAGGATCCCCAATATCCATGACCATCAGACCAACAGACTGATGTTCTATTCATTCATTTCTATGGCATTTGAGACATTATAGAACATTCTTTCTATTGGTGAAATTCAGTGTTGAGTGTCAGTGGTGTCATCTGAATACAAGAGGGAGACTTAGCAGAAACCTAACATATTCATAAGAACAAACAAGTTTTGGGGGGAGGGGGGAAACAGAATAGAACAGCCGAATGTGCATTCCATGATCAACGAATGTTAATTTATTTGGAAAAGAAAACTGGGGGAAGGTGATGGAATCTGCTTATTTAAGTGGCTAAGAAGCATAGCATGGCTGCAGCAAATTTATAGGTTTTCCATTATGTCACATTGTCTTTGCCTTTGTTAGCTATTCCTTCATTTCACAAGTTGTAGCTGTGTGAAATTAGCTGACTGAAACACAGCCAGAGTCCTTACACTGCTACTTATATATACTATACTTCTGGTTTTAGAACTAACAAATTTGTCCTGGTAAACTAATGGAGAACCAATTTGGTATAATGGTTAAAACAACAGGCTAGAACCTGGGAGACTGGGAGTTCTAGTCCCACCTTAGGCACAAAGCCAGCTGGGTCACCTTGGGCCTGTCACTCTCTCTCAGCCCAAGGAAGAAGACAATAGCAAGCCACTTCTGAAAACACTACCAAGAAAACTGCAGGGACTTGTCCAGGCAGTCACCAGGAGTCAACACTGACTTGAAGCCTCCCCCCCAACCAACAGGGGCTTGTATTAAAGAATGTGAAATTAATGTCCCATGATTCTATTAGAATCATTGAATATTCAGTATGGGTTAGTTACAATCACTTGCAAGATTGATGTGAGCTGTACAAGGTAGACCAGACCAAGAAACAGATGCCATTTGAGCCTAAAACTGCTTTCATTAAAATTGGCTGTAGTAACAGAATCTTGCAAGTTTGAAGGTTCTTCTCCTCCTCCTCTCTTTTACCTTCATGTGAAATCAGGGGTCTGTCTCAGACACTTTCATACCATTCCCCTCTCACCTGGGCTTCTGCAATGTTTGTCTGCTCATTGTCTTGGTAATGGATCTTCTGTCCCTCTGGCAAGGTCATTCTCTTATTCTGTACAGTATTAGAATATATCATGGCAGTACAAATTTTATTAACCTTCTTCACTGTGTTGTGCACAGTAGATTCATCCAGGTTAAAAGCTTGTCCTAGGTGAGGATCCTTCACCAGGCACGATGTAATAGGTGCAGCTTTGTTTCTGAATGTTAAAGCAGTCTTTTTCCTTCTCATTTTGGGTAAGGGGTTGGACAAAATGTCGATGGCTATTTTTATTTATTTATTTATTTAAAACATTTGTATAGCTGCCCATCTATTCAACCCAAGGCTTACAACCCAAGAGTAAAAACAATACATACAACAATAAAAGCCAAGAAGACAGTAAAAGCAAAACCAGAAAAACCTGGCACCACAGTCATGCTTCATTGATGCAACCCACCACACTCTCATCCTACTCTGACTTCACCCTATCCCAACACCTGCATGAAGATCCAGGTCTTGAGTGCTCGCAAGGGTGGGGCCTGTCAGGTCTCCAGGGGGAGGGTGTTCCACAGGGCAAAGGCTGCAATGGAAAAGGCATGTTTCTGAGGATCTACAAGGTGGCAGTGCTTAAGGGAAGGGACCTGGAGCATTCCTCCCCCAAACCACTTTGTGGGATGGGCAGATGCCCTCAGGGAGAGGCATTTCCACAGATAACCTGGTTCCGTGTCATGTAAGGCTTTAAAGGTGATAACCAGCACCTTGAATTGCACCCGGAAGGATACTGAGAGCCAGTGCAGCTTGTGCAGCAGAGATGTAATGTGGGTGAACCTGGGGCACCCAACACTGCGCACTGCTGCATTGTGGACCACTTGTAACTTCCAGGTGATCTTCAAGGGCAGCCCCATGTTGAGTGCATTGCAGTAATCCAAATGGGAAGTGACCAAGGTGTGAGTGACTGAGCAAGCTCTCCCAGTCCAGGAAAGGGTACAAAACAGTGAATATGCAATAAAGTGAAGTTGCATAAAGCAAGCAAAACCTGTATAATACCACATCACATATATTCATAGCAAAATGATGATTAAACTGAGTTATATTTGTTTTGGATCATTTTAAAACAATTCTCAATCCTCATTATTCAATCATTGTTCGCATATTATTTCATTATGCTTTACTGCTGAGGTTTCCAGATTGGGCTCCCAAGGATCTTGAGAGTTGAAAATTAGCCAGATATTCATCCATGAGAAAATCACTAATAGTGGACAGATCAGAAGAAAGCTTAATCTGTGTTCTCACTTTGTGGTCTTTCTTCTGCAGTTATATCTAAATATTTATTTAAACTCTATATTCTACTTTTCTGTCAAGCAGGATCAACAAGGTGAGATTTATAGCTAAAGAAGAGTGTTGGATGTACTTCAATACATTCTCTTAGTTCATGGGAAAAAATGAGAAGCCTAAATAGGCTGTGTTTTGTGATGATATGGTTTTAGAAGGCCTGTGGACAGCTTTGTAGGAATGTGCAACTCAGTGAAGCTTTGATTGAATTACCCCATTGAAACAGATATGCAAACTGAAGTGGGAACCTACTTGGAGCAGTGAATTGAATCACATGGCTTCAAAGCATTTTATAGCTTTTCTAAATCCTTCACAGATTCAACGACCTTTAGGATTGATATGGGCAAAATTGCTTTTTCAATTCCATGCACAGAGAATGCTGATAGGAATTATGAATAATAGGCTCTTTAACATTACCATCAAAGCAGCCAGCCCATCACTTTAATGTCTCATTAAACACACTGCCCATCAGACCCTTTTTGGGATGACAAGATAAACATTCATTACTTTGGGTTTCATTCAGTTTCTCAGCATATATAACATGGCCACAAGCCTCAACTTTGCTGTCTTTTGTTGGTGCTGGCAATGCACCTGGGAGTGTAATTTGGCTCTCAGCATTCTGAATATGGGCTCGAGATCATTGAAATTTAATTCTCTTGACAGTGAGTGAAAGGAAGGCCAAGCTAATGCTTAAAGCTGCTGGCACAGACTTTTACTTTTAAAATAGAACATGGAGTGGCAAGGCTACCAGTATAACTTTCCCTTATTAGCTTCTTTCTCTGTGCTTGTGCTCTGTGTTCACCATGCCATCCTACATCTATACTCCAGAAACGTTAGGGATCAAAATCAGCAAAGCTACATAATCTTACAAGGCAAGCCAGCTCTGCCTAGAAATTCTGTCCAGAAGAGATCAGGTTTTGCCAATTTGCCTGCCATGTGTCAGCCCTACAAGATAGACCAGATCAAGAAACCAACTCCACAGGAAGACTAGAGCTATACTTTATTGAGATGGACGGACGGACGGACAGACAGACAGACAGACAGACAGACAGACAGACAGACAGACAGACAGATAGATAGATAGATAGATAGATAGATTTATAAGACAATGAATCCAGGAGGAACCTACCTGAGTCTCTTCCAAATATGATCTTCCTTTCCAGGATTAAGGAATGTTTTAGCCCTCTTTGCTTATGGAACAGTTCATGCCAATTTCGCTAAAGGCCATCTACCTGATTGCCTACACCAGTGTTTCTCAACCTTGGCAGCTTGAAGATGTGTGGTCTTCAACTCCTAGAATTCCCCAGCCAGAATTCTTTCTGGCTGGGGAATTCTGGGAGTTCAAGTCCACACATCTTCAAGCTGCCAAGATTGAGAAACGCTGGTCTATACTGTCTCTTTCTTTGTGACCTGTTTATCTCTAGGGCACTATATTTTATCATGTCCTCCTACACTGGTTGCCTCTGCTAGCCGAGTAACATAAGAGTATGGGGAATAAGCAATAATTTTGATACAATTGAGTTTGGCCAATGGTAAGAGCATTCTTACTAAGAGAAGCCACATTCGCCAAAATAAGTTATACCTTCACTCCTGGCATCTTGGAAAGCCAAATGACAATCAGAAGCAGCAAAGTGCCCCCCACCACAAGGAGAAGTCAGTGGGTACCATTCAGTGTCATGCCAAAACTGGCACCCCAGAAAAGCAAGTGGAAGAATGAAAGTTTATTTTTGAAAACAGGTTTTAAATGTCTGTATGTATTCCACCAGCTTTCAGTAGCCTCTTTGCTAAACGGTTTGGAAGCTGCTGCCCTGTCCTGATATTTGCCATCTCTGCTCTGAAAGAAGTCTGGGGGGATATTTAAAAACTGTTAGTAAAGCAACCCAGCTGGAATTTGGCCAAGTTACATTTCTCTAAAAGGTCTATCCCTGTTGCTTTAATCCAATTCTGCCAAAAATGAACAGACCAAAGAATCTTCTGACACACACACACATACACACACACACTCCCTAGCATGAGATGTTTAAAGTGTTTGAGACCACCAAACTCCATATGTAAATATAT